TGTGCTAGAATACGGTAACTTGTCCTCTACTCCAAAACCTGCACTACTGTACAATGTAATTGGTCCTCTGTTCCAAAATGTGTATTAGAAACCTCTGTTTACTCTAAAAACTAGAAACTTCTGGTTACTCCAAAAACTGGACCATCTATGGTATAACTGGTTATATGCTCAAATGCTTGTGCTAACATATAGAGTAAATGGTCCTCCAAAACCTGTGCCAGAAACCTCTCGTTACTCCAAAACCTGTGCTAGACTGTGGTATAACTGGTCTTCTGCCCAAAAACCTGTGCTGATATATAGTGTAAATTGTTTTCCAAGACCTGTGCTAGAATATAATAACTGTCTTCTACTCCAAAATCCTAATTACTCTATAACCTGTATATAATTCTATAATCTGTGCAATATATACATATATACATATACAATATACAATACATTATAACTTGGTCTCTGCTCCAAAACCTGTGCTAGAAACCTCTGGTTACTCCAAAACATGTGCTAGACTATGGTATAACTGGTCCTCAGCTCAAAAACCTGTGCTGACATATAGTGTAAATTGTTCTCCAAAACCTGTGCTAGAAACCCCTAGTTACTCCAAAACCTGTGCTAGAATATGGTAACTTGTCCTCTACTCGAAAACCTGTGCTACTATGCAGTGTAACTAGTCCTCTCTTTCAAAATGTGTACTAGAAATCTCTGGTTACTCTAGAACCTGTGCTAGAAACTTCTTGTTGCTCCACAACCTTTGACAGAATACAATATAACTGGTCCTCTACTCTAAAATGTACCAAAACAGGATATAACTGGTCCTCTGCCCCAAAACCTGTGTTAAAATATAGTGTAAATTGTCCTCCAAAACTTGTGCTAGAAACCTCTAGTTACTCCAAAACCTATGCTAGAATATGATAACTTCTCCTCTACTCCAAAACTTGTGCTACTGTACAGGGTACCTAGTCCTCTGCTCCAAAATGTGTATTAGAAACCTCCGGTTACTCCAAAATCTGTACTAGAAACTTCTTGTTGCTCCCCAACCTTTAACAGAATACATTATAACTGGTCCTCTACTCCAAAATCTGTACCAGACTATGATATAAATGGTCCTCTGCACCAAAACCTGTGCTAGAAACCTCTGGTTGCTCCAAAACCTGTGCTAGGATATGATATGTTACAGTGGTAGAGATGCAGGTTTGTATAAGCTATGAGGAAAGCTTGGTGCTGGATGCTGGAGGGCAGACTTCCAACTTACCTTTCAGGGACAGACTGGGTGTCCTCAGTTGCACTCATGGAGGCCAGGGGGGTGTCCAGGACAAAGAAGCGGCAGCCACACTCCAACAGGGGAGAAGAGAAGAAGAGCAGAGAGCGAGAATGTGTCCGTCTGTGGAGAAAAGCAGCCGGAGTGCTGGAGCGAAGAGACTGGTGGAGCGCGCAGAAGCCCAGCGTTTGGCAACACACACACTCACACACTTGCAGGGGGAGAACTGCGTGTGGCCAGACTCACACAGATAATACCCTCACAGCTCTACCAGGCAATTGAGGAGACAGGTGCAGGCATACAGGCATACTTACAACAACAGAAGTAGCTTCACATAACCTGACATAAAGTTTTTCCAATCCTCATTGTGTGGAGGAGCGTCACTGGGTCTGGAGTAATGACAGTCCAAGCAGAGAGAGAGAGAGAGAGCACCACACTGAGTCATTTTGTCCCTCTGACAGCAAGGTCCCGCTCATTTTCTGCTCTCATCTCTCCACACCCTCCCCATGTGTGTAGCCTACCTCTCTCACTCTAATTGGTCCTTTCTTCTTGGTTGATACAGATTTTCCCTCTCTCTCTCTATCTCTCTCTCTCTCCCCTCTCTCTCCCTCTCTCTCTGAACCATTGTTCTTTTTTCATTGTATCCCCTTTTCTTTCATTCACACCATGGCGGGTACTGTCTGTTCAAAACACATCATTATTGTACAAATCCGAAAGACGAAAGTATGTCACCTTCATTCAGACATGACAGGCCGTCCACCTCAAGGATGACACTGCTTGTTATAACAGGTGTCGTAAGTGTTCTTGTCAGTTGCTCATGGCACCTATCTTGGCACTGCAACTCTGACTGACATATGTCATGCCAGTAACTTGGCTTTGCTGCCTTGGGTCAAAACAACTGGCAGTCCTTCTTTCATCAAAACAGACGACTAGCCCCCTTTTCATTTTCTTTGGTTGTTCACCTTGTCTCCACCTTCCTAAACTACCTACGTCACACACTGCTGAATGATATATTGTGATAATTTAGGTTTTTGCAATTATTATTGTGAAAGAAATCTAAGGGAAGGGATTGATAACATTCCATTAGTATTCAATAGGGCTGCACAATAAGTGCAAAGTACCATATTGTGATTATTCTGCTGCATACTGCAAATGCGATATATCTTGAAGATATGTTGAGAATTATAGACTTTTTTGGCATTTTTTCACAATATTCTACCCAATTTAGCTGTTTCCAATTCCACCCATTTACTAGGTCTCTCAAAATTCACATGATAAACCAGCACGAGGAGGGTGAAGGCTAGCACATGCTTCCACTGCATATTTCTGATCTACAGCTAATGCAACGTACTTGGACAGCTCAACACTTTAGGAAGAGAATGCTAACTGCCAGTTCTGTTATGTCAGCTAACAGATTCCTGTGCTGGCTAGCATCATGCTGAGAGATGGGGGTGGGAGAGTGAGGCCAATTGTGCTCTCTTGGACTCCTGGCCACAGATTGCTGTAGCATCACCAGGGATCCAACTCATGATCTTGTAATGCTAGGTTTATTGGATCACATGAACGCCTCAGAACATCTGAGGTTGGTCAGAATGTTCAAACCACACAATAAAAAACTGCATTTTATTGGAGGCTTAATTTGTATATTGTAACACGAGAGCTCACTTACTGAAGGAAGTGTGAATTGTGTTACCTTTTAAAAATGGCTAGAGGCAATAATTTAAGCCCTTTGTTGACCCTATTGCCAGAAGTTTGATCTCTGGGCAAGTAGGGTGGCCATTCCTCTCCTCCAAGCTTCTTGGACTATCCAGTGACTTTTCCAGTTTGAAAAGATGCTGTGGTGTGTCATGTATCTTAGAGGAAACAACTGCTAGCCTTCACACTCCCAGCTTAACAGTACCGTTGGATTAAGGGAGGCCAAGCTTGCAGGTAGAACTGGCTATCAGCTAATTGTGGAGAAAACCGAGTTTTAAAAAAAGGAACAGAAAAGATCAACCCCTTTTAACACTTGCAAACATGGATAGTTAATAGTTAATAACAGTCAGTCTCCACTTAGCTATTAGCATGATCTCCTATAAAGGTCAAGAAATCATTAGTTAGCATTAGCTTTTACCTTAGGTTTAGAAGATTGGCTTTACTGAAACCATTTGTAATCAGCATGCATAGACAATAAGAAAATGATCACACACAACAATTCCTGAAATTATAGACAGCTCCTTAAAATTAAAATGACATATTTTGTAGCTACAAGGCAAAAAGTAGAACCTAAGCCTCAGAAAGGTAGAACCTTCCTTTGACTTTTTAGAAATGGAATGCCTTTCTGGAGGTGGCAGAATAATTAAAAAGCCAGGCAGGAAAAAAAAAACAAAAGGAATAGTGGCATGTCTGCATGGTCACATGGCATGATCAAGCACTTTGTAAGGGGCTTTAGAGGCTGCGCCATGCACCCCCCCCCAACCCCAAAGAAATAATCATTGCTGTTAATGTTGTTGTGTTGTTGTTTAATTAGTTTAAATGTGCTGATTGTGTGGTTTTGTGTTGAGCTTCGGGGAGAGTGTATCTACCATGAGGAGGAAAAGTGTGGTGTAAAGTGACCTGCCTGCTTCCCATGTGTGAATAAAGTAGCACTTCTCATGGCAGAATTAACGACCTCTCCTGCATCTCCTTCTACACCGATGCCACAGTGGCATCAGAGGTGGGGTAGCGCCGCCAAGTGGAGGATGCAGAGTTCTCTTGTGTCTCTGCTCTTGCATACTGATGGAGAGGACAGCCAAGGAGCTGCAGTAAGGTCGCCTGCCAAGGTCAGTGGAGGACACCCCAGAGTGGGGTGCGCCGAGGACCTGCGGTGGTAAGGATGCGGCCCCAAGTGAGGATTGAGGGTGGTTGCTCTGTGGGACTTCTGCCAGCTGGCACTCTGCATGCCTCAAGAACTTGGTTCAGACTGTGTGGGTTGCTAGGACGGCTGACTTTTGGGGTGGCTATGTGGCGTCTGCCACACACTACACGTTTCAGAAGGGGCTTTAGGGGTGTGGTATGCAAAGCTGCGCCACGAGCTCCACCCCCCTCCATGAAAGAGACAACTGTTGCTGTTGATTTGTTTAGTTAAAATGTGTTACGTGTTGATTGTGTTATTTTGTGTTGGGGGAGATGTATCTTCCATGAGATCCATCCAGATGTCCTGCCTGCTCCCTGGCTGTGTTTGTGTGTGACTTCTTCTGCTTGTGTAAATAAAAGAGCACTTCTTGTGGCAGAAATAATGGCCTCTTCTGCGCCTCCTTCTACGCCAATGCCAGCATATAAAACTGTGAATTCTCTCAACCATTGAGGCTGAGGGATACAATGCTCTCTTGCAAACTCCTACATAAGATAACAGACATAGTTAATAATGTATTAAATTACAGTTTTAGGCCAGAATGCCGCTTCAGCGGCTACAGACAAATGAAAAGCCCGTATTGGAGCTACTATTTTGTCCAATGTGACTTTCTCATCAAGACTTTGTCTCCATCTTGTGTTGTGAAATCGTACTGCACTTTCATGGCTCCACTGGCCTTCTTGTTTTGAATGACAGTCATAATTATGAGGGCGAAAAACGTTAAAAGGATGTAAAGGTAGCCAGTGAATTAGCAAAAAAGCGTATTTTTCATCAGAGGTTTATCTGAACGTATTTGTTTTAGGCTTAAACCTGACGCTGCACATGTAAAAGTTGGTAGACTGGCCTGCCTACCTGACATTTGTTTACTTAGCGCTTGTTCAAGAGTTGGTGTGCAGCAGAGCTGCTGGCTAAGCTAAAGTGACAGCCACCTCACCACCTCGAGAGAAAAAAAACACCTGTCAAAAGTGTCGAAAAAGGAGAATAAAAGTACAAGGTTTCCTCAGAAACTGGCGCTGACTGCGACAGGATATATTTTTATGGTGTGCTTTTGGGACAAAAGTCATGTTTCAGTTGTCTTTTTAACCGTTAAATGGGATATTTCCTCCGTGTTTTCAGTGGATGGAGTCAGATGGTCAAACCCAACAGAGCCTCGACTCGCTCTTCAGGTCGTGTGATGCTGATAATTCGGGACGGATTGAAAAGGGTGAGTTTTTCAGACTCTGTTCAGAGCTACACGTCCGCTCAGAGGACGCCGACGCGATTTTCAGCAAACTGGACACAGACGAGGACGGCGCGATAAACCTGGATGAATTCGTTAAGGGCTTCCAGGCGGCGGCGAGCTTCATGAGGCAAGAAGAACAAATGGGGGAGCGAGGCAAGGGCGCAGAAGCCTTCTCTCTGGCCTGGGAGGACTTCAGATCCAGGCTCGGGGAGCAGGAGAAGTACATTCCCCGGTAAGGAGAAGCAGGAGGAAAGGCACCTGGGTTTGGTAAGAGTTGGTTATAGCAATTAGAAGTGGGTAAGATGGCTTAAACCATACTCAAGTAAAAGTACTGATACTTCAATAAAATATAGGGACTCAGGTGCCACACTTTCAAAAGGGTTTTTCAAGGGTTCTTTAGTAAAGGCGGTGTTTCTATTTAGAACCATTCCGTGTCAGTCTGAAGGGCCATTTCACCATGCAAAGAACTATTTAAGCATGAAATGGTTTTAAAAAGAACTACCTTTACTTAAGAACCATTGAAGAACCATCTTTTTTTAACAGTGTAGGAGTAAAAGTTCCTGCCAAAAACCAACTTGTGTCAACCCCTTAAGTACTCAGTACTGCAGTGGAACTTACTAGAAACTTCCCAGCATCTGTCAGCATAGGAACCGAAGTTTGTCAGGTGCTATTTCTTCTCTTTTGGGGATTTTTTTTTCCGCCTGCTAAAGCTTACAGAGGTTATTTTGACCCAGTAAAACAGAATTAAATTAAATCTCAGATAAGAAATTTGATAATACTCAAACTACAAACGAGAAGTGGGCGATATTGGAAGAATGTATCACGATATTTCGAGAAATTGTCTCGATACATACGATATTTACAATATTTGTGGTATTGTGTTACAATATTAATTTCTTCTGACATAATTTGGAACAGACAGAAAAGAGCATGCAGCGTTTAAAATGTGCTCTCTAAGGACTGACGATACTCAAGATGTACCGAGAAATACACCTTACGCAATCCATCATGATAACAACATATTTTACACCATATTTAGTCATGCAAAAGTAAACAAATTCAGTTATGTAGTTGTGGTTTTTAAAAAGAAAGTTACATTGTATCTGACCCAGCTGTAGCTATGAAACTGTCATAGATATACTGTATGCCTCCCATTTTTACAAGGTACTAAATAGACAATTAAAACACATTGAAATACATTTGTTAGGTATGAAAAAGATGCCTGAGTCAGAAATTTCCCTCAACAGGCAATTTTGACGAGATTTGAGGCGATCTGTACTAATAGAGCTTATTATTTTGCATGGGACTTAAAAAAAAACATTCTGCTTTGAATTAATGTTGGGTTACCACTTACACTCCTAAAGATTTGTCTCTAAAATTTCATTTCCTTAGATCTTTAGCACAGGAAAAAGACTTTTCTGGGCCCTGTACTCCAGCCAGTGTTGGAGAATAACAAAGTACGGGAGAGCAGGGCACAAAACATTTTGATTTTTACTAAATAATTTAAAAAAAATTTGGGATAATCTTGTTTTTATACAAGCAATATATACATCTCTGCTGCAAACAAACATTTGAACTTTGTTTGTAGTACCTACCATTCATGTACAATTTCATAGAAAACGACGAGAAGCGCAGTGTTACACTTTACCCCATGGATAGGGTTAATTGTAACAGACAGAGGGTCAGTTGTAACAGTTGCTAGAAAAGTAATAAATTAGTGCAAACAAAGTTAATTCTATATAATTCTATGTTGTAAGGAGCAAATATATTTTCCAACTGTACTGCATTATATAATATCAATCTATAAGACAAACACACACCATCAGATTATACATGAAAACTGACATGAGACTGTGTTAAACAATGGCAAATTTATATTTTAGCAAATAAAATCAACACACCAGTAAAATATGGAACATTGCTTCTCAATAACTATAGCTTTACCAGGTGTTAATGTCAATTTCATTAATATACTTATTTTAAAAAAAAAGTTAACTTAAAATGGAAATAATGGAACAAGAACAAGTCATTTTGGAGTGATACAAATGCATTTTGTAGCATTTCTGTCGCTCCATCAGTCATGAAATTTGAACACAATATAGAGGCCAACCAGTGTTTTCAAATCATGCACAAAAAATGAAAAATGACACTAGTTTTAGTTCTGACAGTGGATGTTTATTGTTATTTTTATAGTTGTTGAGATAGTGGATGTTACCAGGTCAGTGTACCAAATAAAAGAAGCCAGTATGCGTTAAAGTCATTAGTGATTCTTCTTGAAATGAAACACGCCTTTGTAGGCTTTGTGTAAACTCATCTCAGCCTGTTTGCCAGATGTGAGTCATTAGAATTAGGTATCGAAATGTTTATATAACCCATTGATAAGCATGTTTACTTAAAACATGCAAGTGGATTTAGAATGATATGTGCCAATACCTTCACTTGGGTAGAACGGTCGTTTCTACTTTTTCCACATATGAGTAATCACTAATAAGAATGCCTGTGTGTTAACTCGACAAAACATATATTTTGTGCATATTCAGCTGACTCTAAAAATGCCAAGATGAGTTTAGTTGTGCAAAGGGGAATTCAATTGACTTGTCAACATTTCAAGACAGTTAAATAAATATGATGTACAACCAAACAAAATGCAATTATGTGCAAATCATTTAAATCTCACATTTAATTGCAAAGTTAACATATCAAATTTTGAGAGAAATCTGATGAGAAATGTTATTGTTTTTTATTGGTTTTAAATTTTGCCCATTTTGAACTTGATGCCAGCCATGTGTTTCAAAAACGTTGGGACATTGGCAAAAAAAGGCTGATAAAGTTGCTAAAGTGCTAAAACACATCTGGTGGAACAACACACAACTAACTGGGTCACAATTGGCAGAAAAAAAAGCATCCCTGAGAGGCTGAGTTTTTCGGAGGGAAAAATGGGGAGGGGTAAACTGTCCTGTGAAAGATTGTGCAGGCAACATTCGCAACACTTCAAAAATAACATTCTTCAATGTAAAATAGCAAAGAACTTGGAAATTTTATCTAATCTATGGTAAATAATATCATAACAGACAAAGAACAAGTCTGAAAACCAATACTGGCTGGTCATGATCTTCGGGCCATGAGGCGGCACTGCATTAAAAACAGACACAATTCTGTAGTGGAAATCACCACATGGGCTCAGGAGCACTTCTAAAAAGAACACAGTAACTTTCTGTGATGCAGGTTAAAACTCTACCATGCAAAGAAGAAACCAAATGTGTATATATATATATATATATATAGAGGGACCATCCAGATTGTCATCAGCGCACAGTTGAAAAGCCAGCATCCATAATGGTATGGAGGTGCATTAGAGCACATGGCATGGGTGACATTGTGAAGGCACCATTAATGCTGAATGACATATATCAGTTTTGGTGCAACATATGCTGCCATCCAGACAACGTCTTTTTTGGGGAAGGCCTTGTTTCTTTCAGAAAGAATATGTCAGAACACATTCTGCATGTATTACAACAAAAGAGTCTGGGTGCTAAACTGGCCAGACCCGTCACTCACTGAAAACATTTGACACAATATGAAGTCAAAAATATGACAAAGGAGAACCTGAACTGTTGAGCAGCTGGAATCCTGTATCAAGCAAGAATGGGAAAATATTTCACTTTCAAAACTACAGCAGTCAGTCTCCTCAGTTCCCAAACGCTTACACAGTGTTGTTAAAGAAGAGGCGATGAACACGGTGGCAAACATGCACCTGTCTCAACTTTTTTAAAACATGTTGCTGGCATCAAATTCAAAATGGTCATATGTTTTTCAAGAAACAAATTTTCTCAGTTTCAACATTTGATATGTTGTTTTTGTACTATTTTCAATTAAATTGCACACTGTATTGTTTTTATTTACATTTTTGCACAGCGTCCTGACTTTTTTGGAAAAGGAGTTGTAATTAAAGTTGTTTCGAATGTTTTGATGTGAAATGCTCCACTCAAGACTTAATGAGTCAGAATTATTCACAGGTGTGGTGACAGGAACCAGATGTCCAGAGCACTGAATAGGTAGATAGAAAGATATTACACAAAATTGGTACAAATGCGCTCCTTTATGCCTGAGACATTATTTTGTGATAGTTTTGAGATAGGATTTTGTCCTAAAACATCTTTTTTAAATCAAGGACTTGTACATGCAGTGAGTTGTAGTTAAAAGCATACTTTTTTGGATTTACCACACTTTTACCATCATCATTACTTAGAAAAACTTAAAAGATGTGCATGTTCACTATTCATTTCAGAATTTCGTGTTGTAGACATTGTGATCCTTGGTTCACCACCATTAAAATAGAAATCTGAGTTGCTCAATTTTACTGCAATTCTCCATTTCACATCAAACCACTCTGAATGGCTTGACTTTACATCTGAATGACTGAATTTTGCTGATTTTTAACTCTCTAGAATTACGCTTTTAATTCATGGTGCATGTTTGACAATGTAGTTTGAATCTTATGACAGGACAGATGAGGCTATTGGAGCCAAAGGCTGAGAATAGCTCAGACCACCGTGCTGCCACGCTCCAGCTGAAGGAACATTGATTAGTGCCTCTTCTCATAAAAAAAGACACCATGGTCATGTGGCTAATGATGAACATGGCCTTTCATGAGGAGACCTAGTTCAGTAGTTTTATACCGGTCTTCAGGGTCCCCAGATGGTCCAGATTTTTGCTCCAGCCTAACTTGTAAAGTATAGGGATATAAAATATGGACCATCTGAGAGTCCCTGAGGACCAGTTTGAGGAACACTGGCCAAGTTAACATAGATAAGTTAACCAACCAATTAAAGTACAGAGATTACAACAGTATCATATAGAGAGAAACTGACCAACTAAGCTTAAAACAATGGTTTGGCCAAAAATCACATGTACACAGTTAACACAAATGTAGTTGATTAGCCAATACTTATTTAGCGTCCAAAGTTTACTTCTTTAATTTTGCACTGCAGCTGATGCATTAAGCTAATGTGGCTAACAGGTAATGAAAGCTTATAGTCAACAGTTGCATGCCTAAATCGTCACACGCTTGCCATTGAGTTGTTAAATATTTCGTATCATCTTGTTTGTGTGGTTTCTGATAACGTATGACATACTGTTATGCATAACAGTGGACAAAAGTACATTGCATTGCTCAAAATTAATAATAGTAGCCATTCTGAAGCCTGAATGTCATACAGTGTCAGAAATCTCATAAACATGTCTATTAGAAATCACTTAACAACTTCATGGATTTTGAAAAAAGATTTCATGCAAGTGTGTTCATTTCTTGCTACAATTTATATGAGCTTCCATTACTTGTTAGCTACATTAGCCTCGTAGCTACAGTACAAAAATAAAGAAAAGCAATAAAGAAGCAATTACTGGACACTAAACTTGTCTTGGCTAATCTACTTGATTTGTGAAGTAAAGGGAAAAAGTGTAAATTTGATTTTTGACCTGAAAAATATTTTCAGCTGTAACAACCACCCTTACAATTGTGTTATAATGTTTTTTAGAGCTTGTTCTAAAAATATCTTTGAACCCATGCCTTACATTTTGATTTCCAAAACAATATTTCAGCCCTCCCTTTGGCACCAACATCTGTGGTTAATTCATTCAGCTATTTTTGGATCTATTTATATCTCTATTTTGCTTCACACATGTAGTCACATGCATAATTTTCTGTAAAATGTTCAGTCTGTACCCTTTAGGATTCAGGTGGGCTGCAGGGCTCACATAATATCAGCTGTGCAAATATACTCCTAGGATTCCTTGAGAGATTATGCCCAGTGCCTTTTTCAGTCACATTGTTAGTTGTAGTCTTCTTCTGGAAATTCCCTAATTCTAGAACAAGGTTTAATCTGTGTCCAGGACATTGGCTGCAATGTAATGCAGAATTTTGTGATGGATATTGGAATGGAAAACACCATGAAGACATTATTAGGCACCGGTACAAAGTTCATATTGGTACTTTTGTTATAAAGTAAGACATAATGATGGTTAGTTTTTGGAAAGGAATGCACTGTTATGCACTTATGTTTATCAAATCAAGATCTTTTGAATGAGTTTAATGAACATGCTTCATGTCTAAAGAGATTGTATTTGTTGGGCTGATTTAAAGTCAACCTGAAATTAAAATTGATTCTTGTCCCTGATCGTATTAAGCACAATTCATCATACTATACAATTTAAAAGAAAAAATTCTTGTGACATTTGACTTTTGCCTGCCTTTAAAGCATCTTCTGAGTTCTGGTTGTGTCGTTGTGTACTAGCGTGCAGGGACAAATCACATTAACCAATAATATCTTGTTTTTACCCACCACCTATCATTGAGCAAAGCTCAGCTAACTCAGAGACCCTTCCTGATACAGTGTTAAACTTATGAAATATGTCACAGTATGGAAAGACTTGGAAAGACTTTTTTTTTCATTGATTTTTTTTTTATCAGTGCACATATTCCCATCAAAATTATTAACCTAACTTTGCTTTGACTGCTTCCTTTATGTTTATCTTGGTATTTTTAGCTGTAGATTGTGATGTAATTCTAACGTGTTACCTGTGTTTATTGCTCTAATAACTAAAAACTAATGTACGTATGTGTTTAGTATTGACCAGGTGTCGACTCTGTACCAGAACATCAGTCTGACTGAGGCCAGGATCATTCCTCAGTATGAGAGAGTTGTACTCAACTTCATCAGAGAGATTAAGCTGCAGAACACAGAGATGGAGCACCTGGCACTGGCTGTAAAAAGGTTTGGACACATGCAGTCAGGTCTGCAAATATTTGGATGCAAAGAAATGTAGCTGTCCAACAAAGCACGTTGGAGAAATTAAATAATGAAGATGAGCTCACACTTTACCATTTATAGGGGCTCAACAATCATTTGACAGTTAGCTACTTAGCTGTTACAAGGCCAGATGTGGGTTAATTTCCTCATTATTTCACTTGCAAGTAAGCAGATAAAAAGCTCTAGAGTTGATTTCAAGTGTGGCATTTGCATTTGGAATCTGCTGCTGTTGCTCTCATTGTGAAGTCATCTCAGAGAGCTGTCACTGCCAGTAAAGCAAGCTATACTAGGGCTGAAACATCAAAAGAAATCCATCAGAGAGATTACGAAAACATTATAACTAAATACACTATTTGATAATTGTTAAAAAGAAGAATGCACTGGTAAGCTCAAGAACACCAAAAGGCCTAAAAGACCACAGCAAACAACCATGGTGGATGGTGGAAGACTTCTTTCCCTGATGGTAAAAAACCCCTTCACAGCTGGGCAGAACAAGAATGCCCTCCAGGAGGTAGGTGTATCTCTGTCAAGTCAACAATCAAAAGAAGACTTTACCAGAGTAAATAGAGAGGGTTTACAGCAAGATGTCGACCATTGGTAAGATTCAAAAACAGGAAATCCTGATTAGAGTTTGCCCAAAATACATCTAAAACCATCTTATGGACAGATGAGACAAAAATGAACTTTTACCAGAATGATGGCAAAAAAGGAATATGGAGAAGGGAAGGAACTGCTCATGATTCAAAGCATACCACTTAATCTATCAAGCATGGTCGAGGTAGTGTTATGGAGTGGGCATGTATAGCTGCCAATGGAACTCATTTCTTTGTATTTATTGATGATGTGTCTGCTGACAAAAGCATCAAGATGAATTCTAAAGTGTATAAGGCTAGAATATCTGCTCGGGACTTCGGGACTCATGTGGATGGCACTTCACAGTGCGGGTGGTGAAAGTTCCCAAAGCATGGCGAAAGCAAACCAAGAATTTTTAAGGCAAGAAGTGGAACGTTCTGCAATTGCGAAGCCCGTTCCCTTACCTCAGTCCAGATGAGCGTGCATTTCACCTATTGAAGGCAAAACTGATTGTAAAACACCCCAAGAACAAGCAGGAACTGAAGACAGCTGCAGTAAAGACCTGGCAGAGCGTCACCAGGGAAGAAACCCAGCATCTGGTGATGTCTATGGGTTCCAGACTTCATACAGTCATTGACTACAAAGGATTTGCAATCAAGTTCTAAAAATGGTGGTTGAAATGAATGCTTGTGAGTCTGTCCATTTACTTTTGAGCCCCTAAAAAATGGGGGGAGCGATGTATGGACATGGTTGTAATTTCTACACTGTTCACCCAATTTGGATGCAAATGTACTCAAGCTGAAGCTGAAAGTCAGCATTTCCATATTCATTAGTTAATTCCAGTATGCTGTAGTATACATCTAAAATAACAATAAGTTTGTCAATGTCCAAGTATTTATGGATTCGATTGTTTAAAATATCCTGGCAATTAGCTAATGCATTTTTTTTTTGCTGTGGCTGGCCTTTCTCAGTTATATGGTGGAGTGAAATAGACGAAAGTCAAAGACATATACAGCAGTTCTTACTATACACAGATTCTGTTTGTATCAGTCTGATAATTAGTGTTCTGGCTGTGGTTCTGCTCAGAACACAGGACCTGACTGCTGTATGCTTTACATTAAAATAATAGCTGTCAAGGTCACAATGCTGTATGCTATGCTATGGATAGTGTGCTCTTACTGTGTTTAAGTATGACACATATGGCTGGATCATGCAGAAATGCTGTTGTGTCCTCAGGGCTCAGGACCAGGCTGCCATTCAGCTGAGCGAGATGGAAGAGGAGATGGACCAACGCATACACACGACAGAGAGAAACACACGCATGCAGGTCAGCACAGCACTGCCAGTTAACATAACTGTTTCTATATGGGCTGAGACAAAAGTGTGTGGTGCTGTTTGTAGAACAAGACAACAAGAAACTTCTTTTGAAAGTTTTTTTGATAAACCTTTACCTCCATCTGAAACAGTTGTGATTAGAGAAATACTGAGTGTCATGTGTCATAAATATGGCTGTCACATGATAGAAATAATTATTTTTGATTACTCACATTATTTTAAGTCTTATTTGCTCAAATTTGACTCTAAAATATTTTTTTCATTTAAAAAGCAGTGAATTTTGTTCAATAGTGTTCAAAATAAGCTTCATCAGTTTGTAATTATTACTGTCAGTAATTCCTTAACATTATTTTCATCATGAATCTGAATGTGAAACATACTTTCCATAGAGTGAACTCAGTTTCCAGTTTTCATCACCTACTTCCAGTGAGAGCAACAGTGACTGCATGTTAAAATCAATGAGCCTTATTCACCAATATTTTCCGATATTCACCAATAAGTTTTATCTTTTAGGAAAGGTCCTAAGAAAAAGTCTACACCAGACTCATGATGTGTTCTTAAACCGCAGAAATGTTTGCACCTTTGTGCTCTTGAGTGTGTATAGATTCTATTCTTACCTAAGAACAAATCCCAAATAAGAATCTTTGTAAAAAAATTTGTAATTTGGTTTTAAGAAGATTTTTTTTCTTAAGAATTGTTGGTGAATGATGCCCAATGACTTTATGTATCATAGATACAGTCAGTGGTTCCTCCACAATTGTAGTCCTCTTGTCCTCTTACCACAATATTATGTCTTATTTTGAGGGGAGCTGTAGATTTGCACTTTTGCTTTTTGCTTTTGTTAGTTTGCTGCTTGTTGATTTATCCGTAATTCTTCCATAAGCCACTTCAGTGTGGACTGAGGAAGCCGTCCTCCGGTGCTAATGGTGCTAATATTATCAATATTGTTTTACTTGCTTAAGATTCAACATAACTTCAGTGATGAACAGCTTGCTTATTTCCGGTACTGCCGTCTGTTTTTGCACATGTGCAGACTGAGAAATCAGAGTAAGAGTTTACATGCACTGAGAAATCTGATTACAGAGCTAAAATCTAGCTCTCTTTATCAGATTTCTTAATTGGATTTATAGACCTTACTCCGATCGGATTATTGAGTGCATGTAAACGCACTCAATGATTTGACATAATGATAGAAGAACATATATTGAAAAGGTTTGAGTGCTGACGAGTGCTGACATCACAAGGCGCTTAAAATATGTGGGGTTTGGACTAATTCCCAAAGATAGTGCTTTTGTCAGTTGGTCCTTTAGTGTTTTAGTTTTAGCAAAGACAAAAAGCAAGAGCTGTCTATTGAAACATTATTACATTTCAAAAAATGCTGTTAGTTAGGTATAGATTTCAGTTATTTTGTATGGAATATTATTTTATACACTGACCCAAATTAGAGCTCATAGTTTAACTTCACAGTAGTATTTGCAGTGTTTCTATGGATTCTGTTTTGGTGCACAGCAGATAATAACAGATAAATGGGCACAGGTGAATTTGTGCTGCTGTAATCAGCCTTCTCATGTGAGTGTTCTGGAGTACATCCAGGACTCTGTTTAACCACTGCGTCAAAGTTTAAGGGCTGGGAAACATGTGAAGTCTCGCGTCTGCTCCTGTCCTTAACCCTGTTCTTAATCTTTAACTTCTGGTCCTTGTCTATTGCTCATTTAGTTATATAACTTACAATGAACTGAGCTTATTTACTCATCCAAACAGTATCTGTTTAATTTTCTTCGGTAGTCATAACAAATGCAGTTAGATTTGCTAGTATGTGCAGCTATACAATAGTAGGCTTTTATTTATTTGTCCTTATTCTATTACAAAAAAATTGAGAATGTGTTTAATTACTGAAGAAGTTCTTTTTAAAAATTAATTCCATGTTTTATAGTAAAGCAGTAACAGTGATTCCAGTGAGTACGTCATGGGAACAAGTTAAAGCAAACAACTGATAACATGGTATTTATATCCTGAGCCAGGTTCAAGCAGTGCGTGTGGTTTTCTTTGAATTTCCTAGTAAATGTAACACAATTTCTGTCCCATTCCTTATGTTTTAGCAGTTGTTTTTATATGCTTGCTATACCCTCCACACCTTCCTTAATTAAGTATTTTAGGGCTGACGCTATTAATTATATTTTTCATGGAAGAATCTCCTGATTATTTTTGTGATTGATCAGGTAATAAGGTAATCTGTTTGTTGTTTTAAAGAAAGGGTAGTACTGTATGTCAAAAATGCATTTAAATAGGTGTATCCATCAGTTTGTGTCATAAGTCAATGCCGATTTATTGAGATGGTACATTTTAATTAGTATTTAAGTTAAATCTGTGCCAGCTTCTGTCTTTTGGCTTTGATGGTCTTCTTATTGTATATGATGACATACTACTTCTGTTCTTCCCAGGAGTCTAAGAAGGCAGAGGCAGCACTGAGCAATATGAAACATCACTATGAAACTCAGCTGGCGGAGTTGCAGCAAAAGATTCGCATCTTGCAGATGGTGAGGCCCACCTTAGTGTTTATTTCATGACCATAAACGAATCCCTTAAACTGCATTCTTATTATCCACTGACTGAAGACCGGAGTAAGTACACCAGTGTCAAACAGGAGAATGCAGCAATGAAGTGAAGACTTATTATTCCTTAAATACCATAAACTATTATATTATAGATGTATTATATTAGTTATAGGGTTATATTATATAATATTACAGTTGCAAATGATACATTTATGCAAATTTGAGAAGTTAAGAGTGAGGAATTGAAGTGAGGGCCCTCACACACGTCGCATATAGTTTAAGTGTGTTAAGCTCAATTCATTTCTAAATATCCATTATTATAATTATCAGTTAAGTCCAGTGCGTCCTATGCATTTATCTTAAGGTAAGGTAAATGCTTAAGGCATACATTTAAAGCTAGAAATTATGTGTCTGTCTAAAACTGAAGTGCTGTTATTCTAATGTAGGGTCTCAAACTAAATTTACTTGCTTAACGTCCTAAAAATCCCAGGCTTATTACATACTAAGGCCTAGTATTCAGTAACAGGAAATTCAGTACAACCTGGCTGGGCTATTCTTAGCTTATAGAAGTGTATGATAAAACTTTGAGCCCGCTGGTGGGCCCTGGCCATTTAACAGGTTAAACATTTCCCTAAACAGATGTTATGCAACTCCCTTCATGTAAAGCGAGAGGCCAAAATTAATTTAGATGTTTTATGCAAGTGACCACAGGTCTTTATCTTTATCCAGCAAGCCTACAGTGGCACTTGGTTGAATTATAAAAATGTATTAAAGGGGATTTCCACCAGTTTTTTAAATTTTCGGCATAATTCAATGGTTGCGAAGTAAACAAAGTCTTTCAGAGTGGTTTGAATGGTGAAATTGTTCAGGGTACAGAAACCTAGCAAGATTTCTGTATAGTGGTGGTGATAGGAACCAGGGGTCATGCTGTCTAACACACAAATATAGCCAGTTTATTTACTATACAAAACCACCAGTGAACCTACATGTGTCTTCTGAGTTTTAATATAGAAAGTTGCTTAAGGTAAATTTGTGTTAAATCTGAAAAAGCAAGTTTTCTTTGGGGACTAATTTGTCTTATAACTCTGTTCATGTACCTCTTTGCCATAAATGTACTTTGAACAAATGTGTTTTAGGCCAAAACCTTCTCAAGGTTTGTATCTATCTTAATGTCTCAGGCATCTGGCAGCGTATTCATAACTATTTCATGTAATATAGAGGCATTAAACTCTAAAACTTAACCACTGTGAACAATTTTGACTCGCTAAATGTCTCTCGAACAGAGCATTTCACAATGAAACCACTCTGAATGAATCTTAATTATTTTAATCATTGAGAAAATTGAAAAAATCTGTGGGCTGCTACTCTCAAACATCCTTTTTTCTTATAATTTAAGTTTTATAAATTCAGTCAATTTTGATTGAGATAAATGATGATAGTGATTTTGCCACCATATTTTTCAAATTGTAATCGCAGCAGTCAAGTCAAATCTCCCATCCAGTCTCCTTCATTGACTTACTGACATTCTTCTTAATAGTCCCCCGTTTCCTGTACTATTCGACTGCACTAATAACATGATGATCACCGACTATATAGCAACAGGAGGCATCTAGCTAACATTATATTTCTTCCACAGAGTGAAGACCAGAACAAGTACACCAGTCTCAAAGAGGAGAATGAAATGCTGAAGCGAAAGAATAATGAGCTCACACTGGTATGACAACAGCTTTATTTCATTAAATAGAATGTTGACAGTTTGAAGCAGTAAGTTAGGCTCTAATAAATCTATCTAAAAAGTGGCTGCTGTTTTTTCCTTGTCTCAGCAAAACCAAAAGCTGAAGCAGGAGCTGCTGGAGTCTCACACCAACATAGCATTTCTGCAGAGTGAGCTAGACTCTATTAAGAGTGATCTCACTGACCAGAGCATCAATTTTGAACGGTGAGAGGTCTTTTTTTTGGTTGAGGAGGGTGGGCTGCATTTGAGTGTTTGGAAGTGCGTGTAGAAGCCTTATCTGAAATTTCAACCAGCCTGTTGGGATCGGCCATAAAATATGTAATTGGGACAGTAGTACAGCAGTCTGTCAGAACAAAGTGACAGATGTCTAGTTTCTGTGTATGAGTCACAAACACAGACAGTGATCCTCCTGCCTGCACGCTGTCTCTGTCTGGCCACTCCTATAGCTGTTTGCTGTGCTGGTATCACGAGAGCAGGATATCCTGGAGTGACACCACACGCCTAAGGAATTTTGTGACCTTGTTGCTAAGCACCCAAGTCAGAGACAAAATTCTGAAAGCCTTTTCATTGGTCTGTGGCCCTGTCTTTTTCTGTGTGTGATAAAAAAGCCACCCCTCATTTCTTTCATTTCCAGACAAAATTACCTTTAAGTACACGTTATTTATTTTAGAGGAGTTATTTCTAAGACGATTAGATAAGAGATAATGGAAGTGTGAATGTAAAAAGACAAAACGTATAAAAAATTGTGAGTTTCCATCAGATAAACAACACTTAAAGCTTTCATCTTAAGTAGAGAGGAGAAAATCAAGCTCCACTTACTTCAGATCTGAAAAAATCACAGGTGTTTCTGTCCATCCTTCCACTGTGAGAAGACAACTCAGCACTGTGTGTCTGAAAGGATGTGTAGCTGTCTGAGAAAAAGAAATAGACAAAAAGGAAGAAAATTTAAACTAGAACACCAAGACTGGACATTGGAATAAGGGTTTTTTATGGACAGATGGGTCTATTTTTTTGTTTGGGATTACTTTGAGTGAGAAAATCAGAAAATACAACTTCTGAGACTCAACTCTCTGTAGAGTTCTAAAAAAAGCTGGAACAAGTCTCCTGTAAATAATGGAAACTGGACAAACTAAACATTGAAAAAAATGTATGTTATATTTAGCTGTTGAGGCTTCTGTGTCATTTTCTGTTAAATATGTTTTGTCCTTTTTTCTTGAAGCTGAAAAATAATAACTTGTACTTAATTAGATGTATGAAAAGTGACCTCTGAATTTTGCACAGTACTTTAGTTCCAAATAATAATAGCAGTGCTAAACATAAGTAACTATTAAGTAATAATACAGAAATAAAAAAAAATATATGTTTGTTATGTTATGCAGAGACGAAGCCCTCATGAGGTGTTTTGCAGAGGAGAGGGACAACCTGGAGAGACAGATTGAAATGTTACAGTAAGTTGTGCCAGGAGACACCTGACAGTTCAGCCTCTGAGAAAAACACACAGAAATAACTGGATCAAGTTTTATTTGATTGTTGTCACGATGATGGTTCTGTAATTAGATCACAGTTGAACTGAATATATACACTGCCAGATGTTTATAGGTGTTGAAACATTGCTTTATAGAAGTGACTTTATTCAGTTGTTGCTTCTGGTAAAGTTTCTGTGCTTTTTTTTTACTCATTTTGTTTTCTTAGGTCAGCAAACAGGAAGCTTCATGACAGCAATGATGGTTTACGCACAGCTCTAGAGAACAGCCAGACCAAAAACAAGGGGCAGGTAAGCACTTATATTGAAACACTAGAGTATTTGGTTCTGGGCTTTACAATGTGTCCACAAAGTTACTGTAAGTACAAAGCAGTGGGGTAATATATGTTTAAGAAATGGTAAAGGATTAAACTGCAAGAATGAGCTCTCGTAGTGACACATGGGAGGTGAAGATTAGTTGAAGACAGGTTCTGGTTGCAGGTGTGTATTTGCCCAAACAATATCGTAACCATGCAGTGGCCTAAGATAGTGGAACTAATCTCATTTCAGCGATTATCTCCTGGAAGTACTTTGGCTAGGAGAAAGAGCTTGTGTGCTCCATATTTTGAAAAGTAAGTGAAGAGTTTGGGGATTTTATACTGCCTTTGACAGAGTAACAGCTACCTTTAATGTAACGCGTCAGAATGACGCAGATGCTCGCAGATAAAAGGTGAATGAGAGGCTTTACTAGTGCAAACAGAATCCACAATTGTAGTCAGGTCACAGGCAATGTTCAAATCCAGAAAAGACAATAAACACAAAAGCACAAACATAACCAGGCAAAAAGTCCAAAAGGGATCAGGCAAAAGGCAGGTCAAAAAACAAGGCAAAACAGGTCAGAACAGGAATAAACAGTCAGAAATAACGTTCAGTAGCTCTGTGAAAAGAAGCAATACCTCACAATGAGACTATCTACAAGCCCAGGCTTTAAACTAAACTAATCAAAGAAGAACAGGTGTGTCTGATCAATACTCTGGGGAACTGGAGCACTGATTGGAGCGTGAGAGTGAGGCTGGAGTCACGTTATCTCCCAGGGCATTCTGGGAGATTGAGTCCAAAGAGAGTTCAGAGCCGAAGGGAGTCGTGACATATAAACTGTGAGCTTTTTTTTAAACAATGAACAACACTTCAAATGTTACACCAGGTAATAAATACAAGTCAGAGACCACCCTTGCATTTATTTAATTTCTGACCAAATGGCCATTAAGTACAAGTTATTAATTTATCAGCGTCAGAAAAAATCAGAAAACATGTATCTAAGTGAAAATTACACTGAAGCCTTTAATATAAAATGTTTCAGTAATTGTGTGCCCACACTTTTTGAGGGATTTTGGAAGACTTGCTTATAGTTTTCCAAAGAAATAGACAGATATTTTTCCACTCAATTTCATTTTATTCAATTTCCATTCTGTTCCTTTTTCCATTATATTCCATTCGATTCTTCTTATAATCTTCAAAGTTCAGTCTTAGAACTTGGTTACATTTTCTGCTTCCCACAGTCAATACAATTTTAGACTCAGCAGTTCATAAAACTTTTTAATCCACATCTCATTTTTAAATCTATTTTCTTCCCTCAGTAAGGGCTCACTGGCAGCTACACATCCTTTCAGATTCATAGTGTTGTCATAGTGTAGTGGAAGGATGGACAGAAACATCTGTGGATTTTTTCAGATCTGAAGCAGGAGTGGAGCCTAATTGCTGGTCTGATGGTGGCAGTTTTAGTGGTCTACCAGGTCTGGAAGCTAAATAAACAAAGGGAATCTCTGACGTTTGCACAGTTCTTCACTGTAAATATGTACATAATCTAAAAAAAATCCATTGGGATTCTCTGCATTGCTTGCTACTTTTTAATAACCTAAAGCATTTTTTACGTACACAGTGTATAATGAGCATGTCACATTTACTCTGGTGCTGTTGCCGTTTCTTTGGCTGCCATTATATCATTACAAGTATAATGCATAAATGTCTGTCAGTAGCTAGTATTATCATTGATAATAGTGACAATAGTGATTGACACAGCATATAACTATTCTTGCTTGCTTGTTTCTGTGGTCCTGCAGGTGCTGTAATGTGTGTGGGGATGACGACTACGATCAGCTGCAGCTAATGGAGTGTCTGCGCATGCAAAGCAGTGACTCTTTGGCCCTGGCGCTGTGTGACCCCATGCGCATACTCAGCTGTGAGGTGGACAGTCTGCCTGAGAGCTGTGTGGACAGCGGCATGTCCACTCTTCGCTCCAACAACGGCTACGACTCGGAGCACGAGAGCACATACAAAAGCCCTGCTCGCCCAGTGGATGCAGCCACCGCCTTGTCCGGAGACACGTCAGACACAGAGGTGAGAGAACTGGGCTACGTGTGTAGTGACATTACACGGAACATTGTGAACACAGAGATAGAGCTGACAGTGGCTGTTAAAGTGCTGTATAAATGAATTCAGTTCAGTTTGGTTCAGTTAAATTACATTCAGTTCAGTTACATTCTTAATAGTACAGTTACTTTATTCTGTGTAATTCAGTCCAGTTCAATTCAGTTTACTTCAGTTCAGTGTTGTTGTCAGTGAGCACAACAGCACCACATATAAGTATAATGAACTATTATATAAATAATAATAAATGTGTTTCCTTTGCGCAATTGTAAACAGATAAGCTGTTAATAAACATTGTATTTCATGAGTGGAGCTGTTTTTTGCTGCTTTTAAAGGTAAGTAAAAAGTAAAAGTAAAAGCAAGTAAAAAGAGGCAAAAACGTTCATCAGTTGCTCAGAAAGAATATGAACAGTACTTTTCAGGTGCTGATTATCAAAGAGCTAAAAGCTTAAACCTCTGTGCATATTGCAACACTGCAGGTTAGCCTAGTCTGTCTGGGTCACTGCTCTGTCCTGCTTCGTGTTCCCAGGTGCAAGAAGTACGGGAAGAGACGGTGTGTGGATCAGACAGTGAGTCAGTTCAGAGTTGGACTCTAGTAAAGCCAGACATCCCTGTGTCAGGAAAGAAATGCCTTTCAGCCATCTTCACTGAGGTAACAACAAACAGCTGAAATTAAAGATGAAAATTTTGACCCTTCAATCTGAAGGCCTTCTATAACCCTACATAAGTCTACAGCCTACAAAGTTATTGCTCAGCCTGGCTCAGTCTGTGTATAGGAACTTAACATCATGGACAGATTGCTTTAGTTCTGTATGACTAGAATTAAGATATACGGAATAAGATACACAATAAGATATAACAATAAGATACTTTGCATTCGTATTTTGTGTATTTTTGATGGATTGCACTGATGTATTATGTATTAGTGAGGTATGATGCCACCTGTGCCACAAGTCAGTATGTGGAATTTCTGTCCTGCTAGATCTTCCCCTGTTAACTGTAAGTGCTGATGGAAGTGTCTAGGAGCAACCACAGCAAAGCCACGAAGTGGTAGAACACACAAACCCATAGAGCCGGGCATGCGAGTGCTGAAGTGCACAGTGCCCCATCCTCTGTTGAATCACTCACTAAAGAGTTCCAAATTGCCTTTGGAACAACCATCAGCTAAAGAACTGCACGTTAGGAGCTTCACAAAATTGGTTTCCATGGCTGAACAGCCAGACACAATCCTAAGATCAGTATGCACAATGCCAGATGGGGGAGGGGGTGGTTAGGGGTAGGCGAATGCCAGGAGAACTTGACCTGCCTGTTTTTCAGGGGTTGGTCTAGGCCCCTTAGTTCCAGTGAAGGGAAATCTTAATGCTTCAGCAGACCAAGACATTTTGGACACCTGTATGCTTCCAACTTTGTGTAAACAGTTTGGGGAAGAACCTTTTCTGTTCCAGCATGACTGAGCCCCAGTGCACAAAGCAAGGTCCATAAAGGCATGGCTGGGTGAGTTTGGTGTAGAAGAACTTGACTGGCCCACACAGAGCCCTGACCTCAACCCCATCAGACACCTTTGAGATGAACTAGAACGGAGACTGTGATCCAGGCCCTCTCGTCCAACATCAGTGTTTGACCTCACAAATGTTTTTTTAGATGAATGGGCAAAAATTCCCGCAGACAAACTCCAAAATCTTGTAGAAAGCTTCCCAGAGGAGTGAAAGTTGTTATAGCTGAAAAGGGGGATCAGCTCCATAGTATTGCCTATGGATTTAGAATGTCATAAAAGCTCTTGTAGGTGTAATGTATAGATGTCCCAAAACTTTTGTCCATATAATGTATGTTGTGGTTTTATTTGATCTTGTTCTGTTAATTTTATGTCTTTTCATTTGCATTGTTTTTCCTTATTGATACCTTTTGCAATCCTTTCATTCTTGTTCTTATTCCTCTTCTTATTATTGTGCTCAGTCATGAGCTGTTCTCTGTTGTTGCCTTATAAAGTGGCTTTGGGCTTTGAAAAGTTACCATGTACATAAGATTTATTGTTGTTGTTGTTGTTGTTAATACTACTACTACTAGTAATAATAATAATTATTATTATTATTATTATAATAAAACATAGCTTGTTTCTGTAGAGAGAAAAAGATGAGTTAGTGGAGAAGCCACAGGCGTCTGATAAGACGTACAAGATCGTGTTAGCAGGTGATGCTGCCGTGGGCAAGTCCAGCTTCCTTCTGCGACTGTGCAAGAACGAGTTCAAGGGCACCACCAGCGCCACTCTCGGTAAGAGTGACCAAACAAGTTTTTCAAAACTACACTCAACTACACTTCATGTCACAGTATCATTGTACATGTAAGAAGACTATGAGATAATGTTAGCTGTGTTTGTTTTGCTTTATTTAGGAGTTGATTTTCAAATGAAGACTCTTGTCGTGGATGGAGTGCCAACAGTATTACAGCTTTGGGATACGGCAGGCCAGGAGAGGTGAGACCCAGAAGTGAGGCCTTAATATTACACCTTAGCCCTAAATCCCCTAAATCCTACATAATAAACCATAATTCTTTATCTTAGCTTAAACCAATAAGTCAGTAATAAGCCTAATGTTAAAACAGTATTTAAACCCATAACAATGAACATGTGTCCTAAAGACAGTATCCTAAAGGCTTAACAATAAATCCTAATAGTAGTTCCAACAGACTAAATCCAACCTTCAGTCTGAAACCTTACACCAGAACATATGCTGTAAACACTTCCCCTAAATCCAAACACAAACTTTTAGCCTCTTTTGAATTACTTTTAACATCAACTAAGGGAACTATGTGCAAACTAAAGACTGCTTTCATTGTTTGTTTACACAGGGATTTTTACTGGGTGTCTTCTGGTTGCTTTGTTGGTTTAATGGGTGTTGTAGGAATGTGAATTCGAATGGTTCCTTTTCTGCAGGTTCAGAAGCATTGCTAAATCCTACTTCAGACGAGCTGATGGGGTACTCCTGCTTTACGATGTCACCTGTGAGAAGAGCTTTCTGAATGTGCGCGAATGGGTCGACATCATAGAGGTGTTTCCCTTATTTTCTGCTTAATGTTAAATAATTCAGGATTGGACACCTGAGCGTGCAGTGGCAGTCCTGGAATTTTAATTTAATTCAAAACTCCTCATTTTAATCTCATCTGCATGATACACATAACTCTGATATAAATGTTGACTTAAGTCCTCCTTGCCTCCAGGATGTTTCCCAGGATGATGTCCCCATTATGCTGGTGGGGAATAAGACAGATCTGCGGCAGCAGGCTCTTCAGGATGGCATTACCTGCATCCCAACCAGCTACGGAGAGAAGTTAGCCATGGTGAGGGCATTCATATCATTGAACACATGCACGTCTCTCCCTCTGACTCTGTGGACAGTGATCAAGCCGCTGTGAATGTAATTAATTATCCGTTGAAAGTCTAGTGTCACTACTCTCTTTTTGCTCTGTTATTTAAATGTAATTATGTGATTGCATAATTGACAGTAGGTAGTTATATAGTGAATTATAGTTACAGATATACAGATATAGTTACATTTTGTATTAACAGGTTCAAATCAGACTTTTCATCAAATTCAGATTATAATAAAACATCTCTTCTTCTACTTATGAATGCAAATCAGACTCCACATGTTCACTTTTCTTCCATTAAAAAATAGTTCACTTCTAAGTGTGACTTTTAAGCATTAATAATCCCATCATAATTGGATTTCTGCAGTTATCCGATTATTCAAATGGTCATGTAAGCACCATATTCCAATCTAGAAATCCGATTAAGAAATCCGATAAAGAGAGCTGGATTTTAGCTCGGTAATCAGATTTCTCAGTGCATGTAAACTCTTACTCTGATTTCTTTCGGATTTCTCAGTCTCCACATGTGCAAAACAGACTGCTGTACCAGAAATAAGCAAGCAGCGTCGCTGTGAGACACAGCAAAACACTTTTGGAGCAACTAGATTTGACGAAATAAAGGATTTAAGTTTTCTGCTTCTAGATAATGTCTGTTCATATTTTCACGTCAAGCAGTGCAGTGTTTTTTTAAAAAAAAGCTGTGGCATGAAGTTTGAGTTTTACATTACATTTTCGTCACGTCTTCTTCTGTGAGTTTATTGGCTGGCTGAAAGGCAGAAATCTGATTACTGTCTGACTCATGTAGACCCGGAGTTTCCCCATTATCTGATTACTCAAGTGCATATAAACGCATCGACTGGATTACTGACAAAATCTGATTTTCTGCAGGTATTGTGTTATTAAGTGCATGTAAACGCACTCAGTCTTGTGCCAATATGTAACAGACGGAGGGGAATCTGATGTAGCATTTTGGAAATTAACCCCAGAACCAAGACCGCACAATATATACAAAATTGCAGTGTTTGAGAAAGTTGTAGGATATCATAATGATACAAGAAGTGATAAATTGTAAATAAATTAAATCCAGCAGGTACAGACCTTTTTACCGTGTACACAGAAATCTAACCTTAATTACAAAAGCACTGTTAACTATTGTGCAAAGTGAAGAATAAAAATAATGACATGCTAATACCTACTTACATCACAACTGGAAGCACATTTTTGTGCATTGTAAGCTCCTTATGATGATGCTGTTGTGACAGTAGCCGTTACTGCATTACACATTTATACACAACACTGATAGTGAGAATAATCTTCATCATGTTAAAACATTTTTATAAGTTAGTTAGTTAGGGATAGAGTAGTGGTGATATGTATGTACTTTGCACTTTGTATTTGGTTTTATAGCCGAGTGGTTAAGTCACTGTATAAGGTAGGGCTGCAACTAAGAATGGTTTCCTTAATCAGTCAATTAATCAGTTTCAAGATCAACAGTGCCACAGTATGCCTTGTACACTGCCCTCAAAAATGCTGTTTTACTCAGTGTGAAAGGTGCAGAAAGAATAAAAGAACAATCAATACATAAACAAATCTTACATGGTAGTCTGTGTGCTATAATGGAGTTTGTATAGGGGCTTCACATTGCTATTCAAATGATTTCTCCTCAAAGATAGATTAATGTGTGTGGTGGGTAACATCATGTAATCAAACCTGAGCACACAGAAGAAGCCTAGTTATCAGCCATGCAGTGTCCTAAACCATGTTCACCACATGTGAAACAGCAGTAACTTGCATGTGAAAGTAGTGTTTTTAAAACATCTGTGCCTGTAAAAAAACAGAAAATCCTGTAATCCTGTAATCTCCAGTCTATTTTCCAAAATCATGCCATTTTAACTGTTGACTACAGTTCTACTAGAGTTTTCTGCCACAAATTTGTTTCTTTAAATCCTCACGACAAGATTCATTGCTAACAATTTTTTATTATCCATAACATCAATTAGTTGTTGCAGCCATAGCACACGCAACATTGGGCTTTGACTCCCCTCTAAGCACAGCACACCGCTGCTCTAATATCTAGTCTGATATTCAGTCTGATTATGTTACTTTTGCATTGCACAGAATCTAATTTATTCCCTTCTGTCATCATAGCCTTAATGTCATCTTGGACACTCATCTCACAAAACGATAAAATACGATGAATCATGCAGCCCTAGACTGAACTAAATTGTTTCTGATCTGAATTTGAGGCATGTTTCTGTATCAACCCCATGTGCTTTGTTCTCACCAGACCTACAGTTCGCTCTTCTGTGAGACAAGCGCAAAGGATGGCTCAAACATCGTTGAGGCTGTCCTCCATTTAGCGAGGTGAGTCACTCACACCACATGAAATGAGGAAAGTAGACTGGAAAGGGAAAAACTCCTTCAGTCAGATTAAAGCAAAACTCTCCCACAACCAAACCCCAGCCCCCCTCCCCAAAAAATATTACATCAAAACTCAGCATCTCCAAAAAAAAGTTTACTTTTAAACAAACTAAGTATGGATCTCTGAACTTCAAAGCCACATCAAAGCACTCTGTTCCACTTACTTAGCACTTGGGGGCAGCAGATCTGCTCAAATTGCATCTGACTGCAGAGCCCATGAGGAGTAAAGGGTGACTCATAGTGCAATCTCTGTGAGTGTAATGCATTAAGCATATATTGCTAAATGAAAAATGGAAATATGAAATTAATTTGACAGTGAAATCACAAAGCACATTATTTTTCGATCAATCAGAGAGCTTGAATGCCAGACTCTATGGACCATTCTACCAAATTAGTTCAAACTGCAGCCTCACAGGAAAAAAAAACAATTAAGTATTTAGACCTTAGATATTTACAAGGATTATGTTGTGATCTATTCAAACCCAAGACATTAATTGTGATAGTAATAAGCTAAATATGTACAAAAATCATGATTCATATTTACATTATTTCTTTCAGTGTTTTAAAGATTTCTTTTAAAGTGAAGTGAAATATCTAAAAAAAAATGCTGTCCCACATTTTCTTGTCACTACCGAAACACAGTTTTAGTCTGTAGGCGGAGCTTTATTTTAGCCACACCCCTTCATTTTAAAGCAGGAAGTTAGACTGCGTCCCTCTCCCTCATGACCACATGATGAGCAGTTAAATCCCATTGTTTTGAAGTGTGTCCCAAAGTCTGACAATCAGTGTGTAATGTTAAGAATTGTTACTACCGAAACACATATTTTCAGCAATTAAGTAAACTTTGTTGTGTACAACTGTTCAAAGCTGTATTTGCTCGACATGAACTATTTAGCGTTTTTGAGTTCTGCTAAAAATTAGCTAAAATTGTCACTACCAGAGCAGTCACTCCTGAAATGTTTGGCAAAGTTTCTATAGTGTTATGTCGTGTTATGTTTTGATAGTGACAATTTTAGCTAATTTTGAGAAAAACTCAGTCACGGAACAGTCACTACCGAAACGTTTGGCTAAGTTTCTATAGTGTTATGTAGTGTTAGTGTTACGTTTGAGTAGTGACAAAATTGTTTAGTCATTTGTTTTAATAAACATAATTCAAGTAAAGGGTCATTCAAAGCAAAGGGATTTTAGTCTAAATGAGTTCAAAATCTGAGATGTGTTTTGAACCAATTCTGTAGAATAATCCATATACAATACAGTTGAGTCATGCTCAGCTCATGTTTATAGCAGCTGTTCTATTTTGTAAAGCTTCTCCCTCTTCTTTACAGAGAGGTGAACAAGCATGCACACGAACACAAGGAACCAGCATCAGTGGCCAAACTCTCTGGAAGTCACACCAAAAAGATTTCCAGCCTAAACTGCTGTATGGTGTAATGTTTGTGCTCTTCATCCAAAAAGACAGAATGTAACCAGCGAGGCTCCTGCTGGTCTTGCTGAGCTTATGGCAAAAGCAAAATCAAATATGTGGTTGCTGAATTGGCTGTTTGCATTCGTTTTCTTCTGTTCCCTGTGTTTTCACTAGAGCCTGACTGGTATATAAATATAGATTTTAACAAGCTAAAGGTTCTGATAACTGACGATTATCAGTTTTAGAGTTAAACACTGCTTTACTGATATGATTATCAGTAGTCAACTGTGAATTGTCTATTGTCACATTTCCTAAACCTAAACAGTAGAAAGTAATATTAAGTAATATGAATAATGTAGCGGTTACCAGTCAATCTGCTGTCAGTCGACCTTAACAGCCAAACAATATATCTGTTGGGTCTTGGTTCAGTTTTGTGTCCTAGCCCAATATTACAGTGCTGGAGTCTTGGGCTGTGTTGAGGCCTTAACACGTTTCTATGCATGTTTGAATCGTCTACCTCCGCACAGCTTTGTGATGCTCTGACTCAACATATTAACCTGAACTGGCTCCCTGTTTGACACAGTGCACCCTGCCAAGCGTGTTCAGTCTGTTCCCTCTCACTGTAAGCAGTGCGCTGTATGGAGAGTAGGAGAGTGTTCTGCCTCAGTGGAATAACAGTGGAGTCTTCGCTGATGGTTCAGTCAGACAGGTATACTAAGTAAAGACGCTTTATGCTTTAATTTTTTATTAGGTTTTTTGTCGAGTGACGAGGGCCCTCCAGCAGAGTCGCTGGGGGTAATTATAATGCATTATTACAGTCTAACTGAGCTACACTGTATTTAAGTATGATAATTAACTGTGACAGCATTATATAAGATGCTTGCTTGGAATGTATGTTCAGCATTTTTATTCTTTATCCTTATATCCCAACTGAAATTGTTCTGTATTGTACATACAGTCAGAGATCATCCTTTGTTTATTGATTTATTTGATTTCCAGTCATAATGGCCATTAAGTGCAAGTTAATAATTTCACAGAGGCCTCAACAACTAAATACAATAACCAAAACTTTGTGTGTCCATCTTTCCATTCTTTTCAAGAGACTTGCTAACAGTTTTTCAAAGAAAACTGCAGGGATATTTTTCCACACCTTTAAAGTTCAGTCTTAGAAGTTGGTTGCATTTTCTGCTTCTCACAATCCGAATGATCCCAACAACAAATTTAGATTCATCAGTCTATAAAACCTCACTCCACAGTTGAAGGACAGACAGAATCGCCTGTGGATGTTTTCAGATCTGAAGCAAGAGTGTAATTCTCTGTTAAATATATCGTTGCTGTCCAAAGAAAAAGAAGTATCTCCAAAATGGTAACTTTAAAGGACAGGGCAAAAACATTCTTTACTTTTATTGTAAGTCAATGTAAAGATATTTTATTCCAGGTAATTTTAGAGGTTTGCTATTGGTCCATTCATCATGAAATTTTCACACAGTGTAAAGCTATTGTGCTCAATTGATGCAGAAAACTAAAAATAAAAAAAATGGAGATACATGTTTTTCTATGGACAGTGACGATATGTTTTCTCCTTTTTTGTGACACTGAAAAATGAACTTTTTTGACCTGAAATTTAATAAATGAAAGGGTGGTCTCTGACTTTTGCACAGCACAGTTGTTTGTGTTTATTTGCATATGACACCCTTGTTTATTCATTCAAATGTACTGTGCTGCATTAATTAGTTAGCTTTGTGTTATGCAAAACATTTAGAAGTGGCTTCCCAGAATCAGATTATGTGAAGTCTGAAAGACTTTTTAATGGTGTTCCACATCACTGGAACTGCAGTTTAGTCAAGGATCTTAATTTATGTCTGACAAACTGGCTTATGATGCTCGATTTTAAAAATGTAATAATTTAAAAAATGTATTATAAGCAATGCAAAATAAAGTGCTTTCATTACTTGTTTCTCATTCTGATGTACAATGTAGCTGTAAGCATCAGATTTTGGCTAATTCATGTGTTTGTGCTTTTCATGAACTAAATCAATCTTATGCCTTAGTTTTTGAGCTGCTTCCTTCTGTTAGTGTCAGATTGACAGGTATTAAGATGGAATGTGTGGAGCTGTTCTGTTATGGGAGAATATAGGATTTACATGCAAGACACAACTTATTATTATTACTCGATTATTATTTAAGTCACATGTGGTGGACATGTGAAATCAAACACAGAACACTACACTACAGAAATCTGAATTATAGACTAATTTAATTAAGGCCTTTAGCAAACATGCCACCAAATAGGACATATTAATCTCAATTTGAGATGACGTCTTTATAAAATAGAATCCGACTCGTCTGTCTTCCTTCATGTATAATCAAGTGCAGTTCTACTAAATTAAATTGCAGCTACCTCCCTCAGCTTAATAACCGCCATCAAACTTGCCAATTTTGGAACGCTGCTATTTTCCATTTTTCCCCAAATCTGCTGTGTATTTCCGTAGGCTAACTCAAGTCCTCCACCAACCTTACATTTCAAAGTAGAACCTCTAAATATCCATTTAATGCTGCTTCAGCTTTGTTTTTCTCTCTTAATGCTGACTTTTTTTTTTTTACTGGCTCGCTCTTATCCCTTCTTTTTCATCTTTCATGATTCATCTCCTCAGAGCTTTAGTCATTTTCTAAAAATGTTCTCCCATTCCCCATTCCGAAGCATCTCATCTTCTATCCTCACCTTTTCCAAGTTCGTTCAGGGAAGTTTTAGGGAAATTGGGCTGAAACTGCTTTATTCAGTTTCACCCAAAGCATTTTTGTCATACACTTTGTTTAACCAGGATTGCTCACCCTCATTCAGCTCAAAATAAAGTTCGTCTTCCTTCATTTCTTATAATCAGTGTTTTAATGCACTGTATTCTGCTGTGAATTTTCTCATATTGGCCTGTATTAACAAACTCAGTGTACTTTATGTACCTTATGCTTTGTGTCTGTTCAACATGCAGGTTTATCTAAAAAATAAACAGTACACTTTACATTTTTCATTGTTGATGGATGTGTAGTTTTCATTGAATAGTCTTAGCAAGCAAAGTACAAGAAAAGAACGCTCAGGCAGAAGAATCTCCGTGTTTTGATTTGGGAGTTTTATTGTGGCAGTACTAACATATAAAACAATCCATAATTTTAACATATAAACAATCAAAATTCACTTTACAAATTTCATAAGGCTTTGAGTCCCAGTGTTGCACAAACCGGGATATGTTTTTTTTTTAATCGTCCCAGAGTTGCACTGTAGAACTGATATAGACAATTTTTTTTAAAGCAAAAACAAAACATTTAGTAAGCCATGCAAACAAAAGACAGCATTGCACACACTCCATCTGAGAAATTAAGAAAAAAATAACTACTGAAACTGAAATTGCATATACCAGCATCTTCCAGATGTTTTCCAGAGTTGCATATTTTCTTTTTATCGTCACACTGAACATGAACTACTAAAGGGAAGTGGGTTCCTTTTCTTAAAAAGGCCAATGTGACACCAAACCTGGATTACAAATGTAGAATGAAATAATCTAATTCAGCATTTTCTTGCCGTTTAACTTTCCTAATGAGAGTCGTGCAGAACACTGAATCAGAACTGTCATTTCAAAACAACACATTCATTTTGACCAATGTGTGTTGCCTAGTGTTCAGAAACATGTGTCAAAGAGAACTTACAGCTTATAAAATCCCCCTACAAAAGAACAGAGGTGGGTAGAGTAGCTGAAATCCATACTCAAGTGAAAATAGAAGTGCTCTCCCAAAATACAATTTGAGTACAAGCACAAAAGTACAGAGCCCTGCTGGTGACGTGCTGTATAAATACAACCCCATTTCCAAACAAGTTGGGACGCTGTGCAGAATGTAAATAAAAATACTACAAAGGCAACATATCAATTGTTGAAACTGAGAAATGTTATTGTTTTTTGAAAAATATATGCCCATTTTGAATTTGATGCCGACAACATGTTCCAAAAAAGTTGGGACGGGGACATGTTTACCACTGTGTTTCATCACTTCATCGTTCTTTTAACAACACTCTGTAAGCGTTTGGGAACTGAGGGGACACTGCTGTAGTTTTGAAAGTGAAATGTTTCCCATTCTTGTTTGATATAAAATTTCAGCTGTTCAACAGTTCGGGGGCTCATTTGTCGTATCTTTCATTTTATTATGCGCCAAATGTTTTCAGTGGTGGCTGGTCTGGACTGCAGGCAGGGCAGTTTAGCACCTGGACTCTTATAATACATGTATATATCGTTCAGCATTAATGGTGCCTTCACAGATGTGCACATCACCCACGCCATGTGCACTAATGCACCCCTATACCATCATGAATACTGGCTTTTGAACTGTGCACTGATAACAAGCTGAGTGGTCTTTAGCCCAGAGGACACAGCATCAATGATTTTCAAAAAGAATTTCATATTTCGATTTATCAGACCACAGGACACTTTTTTCACTTCCCCTCAGTCCGTTTTAAATGCGCTCAGGCCCAGAGAAGGTGGCAGCATTTCTGGATCCTGTTTACATTTGGTTTCTTCTGTGCGTTTAGAGTTTTAAGTGATTTCCACTACAGAAGCATGTTTTTTTTTTTAATGCAGTGCCACCTGAGGGCCCGAAGATCATGCCAGCAAACACTGGTTGTTGGGCTTGTCTCTTGCATACAGAGAATTCTCCAGATTCCCTGAGTCTTTTAATGTTATTATGTACCATAGATGATGAAAAGCAGAAGTTCTTTGCTATTTTACGTTGAGAAACGTTATTTTGGAATCGTTGCATTATTTGATCATGCAGTCTTTCACAGAGTGGTGTACCCCTCCTCATCTTGTACTGCATCATGCATTATCTCGTGGGAACGAATAATGCATGATAAAGGCATGATCTCATTTCCATGCCTTACTAAGTCGTGGCCACGCATTAGTAACTCTTTCCCAAGTGTTAATATTGGGTGGCCATGCATTATTTTATGTACACAGGATGTCACTGGCAGGGCTCTGTACAAAAGGAATATGTCAAAAAAAACAAAAACTGCTTAAGCACTGAGTAACTTATAGAACTGCAGTGGAGTGTTGATCAGCATAGGGACTGAGGTTTGTACGGCTCTGTTCTTCTCTTTTTGGTACTCTTTTGGCCTAAAATAAAATGCCGAAGCGCCAAAAAGATGGTAAAAGAAGTAACCAATCATAAAGCAGTGCAGATGTCGTCACGAACAAAACAGAATAAAATGAATAAGAAAATACGAATGGCTAAAAAATGTAACTAAGTAGTAAGTAGTTTCCTTTACTCACTAGTATAAGTAAAAGTATTACAATTTGAAAATTCTCAGGAGGAGAACAAATCCATCAATATTTTACTTAAAGGCATGTACTTGAGTCAATTTAACTAGTTACTACCCACCTCTGCGAAACACTCAACACTCTACTTTCAACAACTTGCAAACAAGACTTTCAAACCTGTGGCTTAAAGGTACATTTAGAGTCTTCACTTACAGTGAGGAAATGAAGATTTCTAAATAGCAATAAGTGTGGAATGTTTTACGGCGATGAAAAGCGAAGGCCTGGAACAGTCCCCGATGGGGAACTTGTACCTAACATCCTATTCTGATGCTGTGACAAGACGTGAACAGCAGTGAGCCTGTAATGCAATATGCGAGCGAAACAAAAAAATGGTTTGCTTTTCATTTGAATTAAGAATGTTATCAAATTTCATGTCCAAGATGGGTCAATACTGTCAACAGAACTGTTTTTTTTACAAGACAAATGTGTGCAAATGTTTATAGTAGGCATAGCATAAAACTGCATTAGTACTGTAGGTTGTATTTTGCTGATTTAATCATTTCTAATAAAATAATAATCCAACATAGTTCAGATCCATCTAGATCAGGAGAAATAAATACAGCTTTACAGAATGACATTAATCTGTGGGTGTGCAGTCATGCAACATAAGGCAAGGCAAGTCAATAAAAATGCAACAAAATCAGGTGTGTAACATATTAAATTGGGCAGAACAGCTTGTACTTTGCCACACTATAATGACAAGAAAAAACTACTACACTGACAGCCAAAGACAATCAACTTGCTACAAACCGCCATGAAATTTCTGTAACAGATTCTGACTGCTGACAGTTTTAAGTAAAAAAAAAGTCAATTTTTTTGTTTGTTATATTTGCTAATATTGGTTGAATTTACATGAATTACATATGGTAAGATTTAGCCACAGTAAACTCAGCATGATGACAAAAAAACACAAAAAACAAAAAACCCCGGCGGTTCCAAGTGCAGTTTGATTGAATTCAGCCCTAGGTCTGGTTTGCTGGTCATGGTAACACACAAAAGCACTAGCTTTAGATAATCTACTGTCTACATTACTACTGCTACTACTGCTTTTATACAAGGATGACGAGCGGTTTGAAAGAAATCACGATGATAATGACTTCATGAGACTTTCAGCAGCATCTTATCTCAACAATAACGTACTATACGTTCATTTATATTACTGGCTATTACAGGTTTTTCTAAGACTACCAACAAATGTCACTCCCTGAGGTCAGAGAAGAGACACCTATCTGAGCTGAATTCGAACCCGAACCAGAGCAAAAGTCTTCTTCTGTTCGATTCAAAAGGCAGTCAGTCACCCAACGAGGTACAACGAGATTTACTTCCGCTGCTCAGGTACAAATAGCATGCAAACACTTAAATGGGGTACAAGTTCACAGACTACAGACACATTTTGACATGAGTATGGTATGATTTTTCACAGTATTTACAAAGAAGAGCATGCTAACTAGTGCAGCTTAGCAATACACATCTAGCAAACTAAAGTATTTGAATGTACACATACATTTACAGTGTAGTTTGTGTGTTCAGCAACTATATAACCAAGCCAAACTTGACGTGTAGTGATATCATGTAGGAGTTAAAGACGGTATAAATCTAAATGACACATTAATATATGCTCAGTAATACTTTGGATTCAATCACAATAAAGATGCTATGGTTTGGTTTATGTTCGAGGTTATTCAGATGTGTTTTTATGCGTATAGATCGTCGGTTAGTTATGTATAATGTGATACCATGACGTAAGTCAGGTGGCTTATCCACTACTGATGGGCCATTAATGATACAGCTATGAATTTAACACAATGCATATGTGCACATTTATATTTGCTGCAATAAAATATACATTATTCTATTTGCAGATCCTTCGGTAAGTCTCGTACGTTCCTGAGAATGCCGTTCAACTTTTTACTATTATTCAGTACTATTATACTGATGTACAGGTATGCAGCACCATGCGAACGTCAGAGACCACCCTTCATTTTTTTCATTTCAAGTCATTCATTTTTCAGGAGATATTTCTGAGTCAAAGGAAAAACAAGAGTTTCAAAAACTGGAGTTTTTAACAATGATTAAAATATATAGAGACAATGGGACTCTTAACAACTGTATAAGACCTGCTGGACCACCAAAACTGTCAGATAAGCAGTAATTAAAACTTTCCTCTTTGAGAGAGAGGAGAAAATCAAGCTCTACTCTTGCTTCAGATCTGAAAAAGTCCACAGGTGTTTCTGTCCATCCCTCCACTGTGAGAAGACAATTCAACACTATGAGTGTGAAGGGATGTGTAGCTGTTACTGAGAAAAGAGAAAGAGACAAAAAAGAAAAACATCTGCACTAGAGATGTACAGATACCATTTTTTTCCTTCCAATACCAATACCTGATCCTTTAGTATCGGCCGATACTGATACTAACTCTGTCTAATCTAGCTCACATATAAGTCCTGATATTTAAACAGTTACGTTTTTAAAATATTTTATTTTGGTAAAATCTATGTTCTGCATTGCAAATAAAACACACTCAGCTTGACTAGATTGCATTTACTTGTTGGATTATATTTCTTATATTTGTTTTTGTTTATGTACTGTATCTACTTAGTATTTACTATTATATAATCAGTGTAGCTAGCGGGCTGCTATGCTAAAGGCTAAATGTGGGCTAAATGCTATAATTACGCTGAGAGTCCAGCAGTTTCTTCGGCTTTATCATGGATATATTTGAGATTACTTGGATTTTGAAAAGCAGAAAATGCAACCAACTTCTAAGACTGAACTTTGGAGGTGTGGAAAAATATCCCTGTAGATTGCGTTGAAAAAATGAAAGCAGGTCTCCTGAAAAGAAATAATAGTGGACACGTTAAGTACTGAGTTTTTTTATATTATATCCAGTTGTTATGTTTCAGTGTAATTTTCTGGTGAATATATTTTTCTGTTGTTTTCCTGATGCTTAAAAATGAATAACTTGTTCTTAAAGACCATTTTGACAGGAAATGAATATAAATGAAAGGGTGGTCTCTGACTTTTGCACAGTACTGTAAGTGATTAGGGATCGCATGTACAGTGGTATATGTTTTCGTTTTCTCTGTATAATGTAGTTTATTAGAAATGTCATTAGCCCTTGTACTACCACCTCCACTACACTGAATCACTTTACATTAAAAATTTGTTGAAGTAGTCTGGATAATTTAACTTCAATATAACCTTTGCATTTGTTTGTTTCCATTACATTTAATTTAAACATAATGTATAGTGATCCATCTTTGAACTAGTTCTACATCTCAGACAGAGCTTAACAGCTATGAACTGTCTTTGACCTTACTTAACCTGATATTCATTCAACATCGTCTCATTCTTCTCCGAGCAACATCTGCATATGACATCAGGTAATCTGAAAAAAGAAGTCTTTTATTTTAAATATTGTGCTATTCTGTATAAGAAAACCCACGTCAAGACCCACTGAGGTCATATAAGTGTAATCATCGATAAAAATATTTTGCTTCTCTCCAAACACCCGGCCAGAATAAATCTGTTTAAATAACATAACTTAGGTTTTCTTGCTGAAAAATACCAGTAATAGTAAGCTTTACATAAAAATGTATAAAATTTTAAAAACAGATTTAAGTTTCAGTACATCTCTCCTGCCCTTACTCTCTTGTTTTAAACACACAGATGAGTCTAAAGGCTGTGGCTTTATGGAGGAAGGGAAGGTTTGTCTCAGTCTTGTGAACCCCATTCTATTCTATGAATGAAGCTGTTGATGCGACAGTGAGCGCAAGCCTGAAAAAATGAACTGATGTAGGGATATGTACATTTGTTATGAAAGGCAGCACATGTAAGTGAATGGAAAGCGTGAAAATGTAGCTTGTAGTTCTCTAGTTCTTCATAACATGGATATAGCTACTGGTTATTAGGTTAATCAGAACTAGACAACCTTTCATTAATATAAAACGCTACTAACCCTCTATTTATCCATTTGCTTCGCTAAGACTTGGACATCTGAAGCCTAACTGCGTATTTCTGCTACAAATGATCTGTTTTACACTGCTACCACTACAATACTGCAACTCAAAACTTACCGAGAAACTGACACTTACAACTCAGCACTTGCGGTTTCTGTAATATCCACCCATTCATGGCTTTGCATCCGGTTATAATTAGGGGTGAATCCGGCCTTGAGGTGCGAGTCAAAAGAAACAGCGTGATGGATGAGACCAAACCTTCCTTCCTCTTCAGTTCACCCCCCCTCCCTCCCTCCCCATGTCCCGTTAGTTCATCCCTGCTGATGGAGGGCCATTAGCCGTTAGCTATTAGCCTCAGTCTCCCCACAGCTGCTCCATCAGGAGCTCAAGCTTGCAGAGGAACCATCTGCGCAGGGGGCAGTAGTATTCGTAATGGAACTGCTCGAATTCAGGCGTCTGGCGGATGTCCTGCAGGAAGGAGACGTCTAAGTCGGACTCCAGCAACACCAGCAGCAGGGGCAGTAAGATCAGGAGGATGACCGTAGCTGCGGCAACCAGGCGGGCGGCGCTGCGGATGCAGGCTCCAAGCTGCTGCCGCCCACTGGATGGGCTGCACAGCGATTGACGGAGGGCCTCTCTGGCCAATTCCCGCTCCCTCTCGGCCTGAAGCTCCTCCTGCATTTCGGGGTCAGAGTGGAGTTCTTTCAGCAAGCGGCCAGGGCTTTGGAATAGAAAGTCCACTCCGCCCTGCCCTTCTTCGACAGGCGTGGGGAGCATACTGGCACATGGGCTGTAGGCCATGTCAGAGATGGTGAGAGAACCCATTTCCTCATCCTCCTCCACCTCCTGCTCTCTCCTCTCTACCTCTGCTCCCGTCCCAGTAACGGCCGACTCCTCCTCTCCCAGCTCGTGGACATGGTTGTCTATTTCCTCCAGCTCCACCTCTTCTGGTGTGATGGACGGCTTCAGGGGAGATAAGTGAACAGAGTCTTTCAGAGCCAGAAGGCCTACAGAGAGAGAGAGATGCATCAAGGTTTCAGTGCGAAAACTTTAACCTTTCCTCTTGAGACAACTATAGACCTTTGAAGTTATATAGAAACTCTGTAGTCGGCATCTTTCCTGTATTAGGAACTCCAGGTCTAAGATGGTTTTGTCTATGTGAAAAATTTATGATGTTTTTGGAAATTGCCGCATGCTATGGTAAACAAAAATCCAATGTTTTGCCGTATGATCATTTTTTCCCGGCGAATGTCATTGGACCCTCCAAATTACGAAGGAGTCAAAATGTGAATATTGCTGTATGCAAGCTACCAGTCCTGCACATCAAACTAACATAATAAGACTGCCAACTTCACCAAAATACTCCACACACCCCAACAGACTCAGTCAAAAGTGGTAGTTTTAGTTTTAACTGCTTTGGCAGTTTTAGGCTGCTGCCTGAGTTGTTGGTGCTATATAACCGTGTTGAAATGTTGAAATTAAATAGTATACATGGTATACTTACTTTAATATGGCATCACTTCAGTGCACGGAAGTGGTAGCCTTCTAGTAGCATGGATGTAGTGTTATTTGTATTTCATCTGCTTAATAACCTCATAATTCAGAGAATCTACTGACACTTACAGGAAATACGTACACAAGAGAAGGGAAACGCATCAGGCTTAGAACATTTCCTGTACCACAGGGTGCAACGGTGGTGTTTTTTGAAAATGCCATTAATTTTTCTCTTAGAGAATTCAGCTTGTGCTGCATTCGAGTGATGCCAGAAACTGGGAAATACCAATTTTCTTTCTTGTAAACTGCACTCGAACAGCCGACAAAGTCGTTTTTGCCACTTGTGAACGTAAGATTCTAGATGAGTTAACAAAATGTGACGTGTTTTTTTTCACCTTTTACATGAAAGAAAAACGCTAAATTTGCAGTGAATGTAAAAAATATATGCCTGATGTGCTTCTATTATATCTATGTGCTTTATTCTTCAGACTTCCATGCTTTTATTCCATGCAATGGGCGTATCTATGAACAAGCACCCGAACAGAGTGAAGTCATATTTACTCGTTAACCTGGTATCTACAATCTTCCAATGAGTACCCAACAGCAGCATTAAACCCAGAGGACCTAATATGGGCATGATGTGGACTACAGAATGACAACACAACTTCTACTTTTAACTCAATGAAAATGCATCTCAGATGAGCAGATAGAAACTCTAATTTAGTGGTAAAAAGTCTATAATATATATAGAAATCTATTTTACATAATTTGATGTCCAAAGTTTTTCATTGTAGCTACAAAGCTAATGTAGCTACAGTATGTATGTACTACATTCTTTATGTAGCTATTTATGTACCAAATAATAGTAATGTATATACACTAACTAGAATTCTGTAAACTGCGTGATCACATGCTTGCCTCAAACTGTTGTTTAGAAAAATTTACAGCGATGTGGACAAACTTCAAGCTTTCTACTTTCAGCTGTGCAACATATTTTTCTCCAATTTTAGAGACGTCATACAGTGTCAGACACCAAGCACGTCTGTTTCAGATTACTTAACAACTTGACACAGTTTGAGGCAAATGTATAACGATTCAGACATTCAGTTTGTGTGATGCTAAAAAATTATGCTAATGCATTGCTTGTTAGCTGCATTAGCCTTATAGCTACAGTGCAAAACTACAGAACCACACTTCAGATGCCAAACAAACCATGAGAACCATTTCTAAAGTATCGGCAAGTCAATCACGAGCACAAAACTGTCCTTCACAACCTCAGTGTGACTCTGTAAGAATTTGTTTGTGTGTACTCAAATGGAAATTGCACTGATCTTTCTAAACTTCTTTAAGATGTAAACAGAGTAATTCTGGGTGGTTTTATGAGAATTGCACTGTTCCAGATTAAAAATGTTCACAGTGCTGGTGATAGGAACAAGACGTCCACAGCATTCAATGTCTCTAAAAGCTTCATCACAGAAAGCTCTTATGTGAAATGGATATGAATACACTGCATTGATGTCTGCGACACTGTTTTACAGAAGTTTTGAGACAAGCTTTTGGCATAAAACATTTTTTAAAAAGACATTCTTTCAGGTCACTGTAAGGCAAATGAGTCTAAAGGAAACAGTTTTTTGGTTTTATAACTATTTTACTGTCATCATCATAACATATAATAACACATATAAAGAAACATGTAGGTTCACTGATCATTTTGGATAGTAAATAAACCGGCTCTGTATGTGTTGTAGACATTGCAGGTGGTTCCTATTGCCACAACTGTAAAGAAATTTCGGCGAAGTCGGCAAGTTTCTCCACAGTGAACCATTTCACAGTCACTATGGATGGTTTTGTTTACATCTCAAAGATTACATTATGCAGAAAGATGAAGAAAAAGTGTGAAATTCCCCTGAATGTGAATGTATGAGTGTTCCCATGTAGTAGTTGAGAGGCAGGGCTTTAGCCTGTACTCTTTGGCTAAGCCCAGTCTAAATATAGACCCAGCTGCCTGGGCAGTGTGGATTAAGACAAGTCTCCTAGCTAAGTTGTCAGTGACGTCCGCACTACTACTTGCACACACGTGTACAGTTCAGATAAAATATACCAGAATGTTTTTTCCACAATATTTCCCACAAGGGTCTAAAATCCTTGGAATTTAGAGTGCTTAAAAGATTGAGTAATTTGTTGGTCTGTATGAATGGAGGAATTATGGCTCCAAGGCTGAAGTGAATGTAATAAGCAAGTCATTAAAAGTCATATTGAATTCTAGTTTGTCAGCTGTATTAGATGGCTAACAAGACTGGAAATGCAATTTTAATCCCACTAAATTGGATCATTCTCGTCGCGTCGGCAGTTACATGGCAGCAAAGAGCAGGGCAGATGAAGGTATCTCCAGCTGAAACCTGTCACCATAGTGACACATACAGAGAGCCGTTTAGCGCAAAAGGAGGAGAGAGTGGGCAACGACGACAGGCCATCAGGGATGGCTGCCATGGCAACAGGCGGAATCAACAAAGCCCAAGTGTGTGGGCGACTTCTGTAAGGATGTGAATGGACCAGAAAAGAAAAGACACAGACGTCACTCTGCTGCACTTACAGTAAAAGAATCCAAAAGTTGATGCTGGCGTCAGTCCCTTGCCCACTTAGGTAGTATTACTTAAGATGGCAGTGAGGTTGGAGGTATGAAAAAGATGTGCACAACACTTGTGTAACCATTGTTCACTAGAGATTTCTCTCAGCGAAAACAATCAATCCCAGCAGGTATCCATAGCTCTAGCATAATAAATCATAATTAGAAAACATGTTACTGGTGATACTAAGTCATTCTGTAAGCCTGGCTGGAATAGGTCCACAATGCCTCATGTTCAATGTGCCGTGTTCAGCATTACAGAGATGGTGAAGCAAAGTCAGCCTTGAGGGCCAACTCTGTCCTGCTCTTCTGCTCCATTAATGTGGTCTAAATTGTTAAAGTTCGTGACTTAAACATTGCACATAAACATGCCTTCAAGTCATAATAACACATAGGAAAGAAAATTCAAGAAAGAAAACTATCTCTGTAGTTTCTTCTATACATCAAAGAGATTAGAAGGAACAAAGGAAGACTTTTGCTTAAGTTTCCTGGTGCTCAGAAGTTCCCCTGAACAGACTCCAATAATCTCCCATGGAGTTTTAGTAGAGATCTAAATAGAGTCAGACATTGTGCTCAGATTTGCCAAGATACTAACTCTCTTCATCTGCAAGTAAACTCTAATCTCTCCTTTATCTTTTCTGTAGCTCACGGCTCTTTTCTGCTATTTATCCTAAGGAATTTCAGGAGAATCACCATTAAGGCTCCTGAGCCATCAATAAGTAACATTTCAGCAATAAAACTTTCCTCTTGGAAATGGGAACTAGAAACAATTTTGGGTTTGAGTTAGAAACAATTTTTCCAGGCTTCTGAATTGCAACTTTAGTTTGCTCGAAACCTACAAGCCTTCTGCTAGTCACTTGAAACACAGCCACAACAGTTGCAAGCGTCTCAACTTTATGGAAACTTCATGTAGAGCCTCAAGTTTCATGAAACAGCCAATCAAAATAGCGGTAATATCATGTGATCACATTGAATTTTGAATTGCTTTGTGTGCCCGTCAGGTTGCACAGAAACTATGTTGCATGCAACTCAAAACATGCAACTAGTTGCATGAAAGATGACCCTCCCTCTCCCCATCGTTAGCTAATGTAACAGAATTGGGAGTTTTCTCTTCCAAGAGTGTTACAGTAATGCAGTGTTAGTGGCAGTTGGACAAGACACAAATGGTGCTACATGTGTCTCAAAGGAAGCAAGTGTTAGCCTTTATCCTCCAAGAGGAATTGGCCACAACTAAACTGGGTTGAAAAAAGATACGCCTACATCTGAAACTACTGGTTGCATTATGTGCATTTTAACAATACTGGAAGATGTTAGAAAGATAGCAAAACAGATAGCAAAACAGATTTACAGCTCTAAAGCACTTAAATCCACAGACTTCGTGATTACAGGTGCAATTACGACTTCACAATAGGGAAACAGGACCTTCTGACAAGCATCTAAAGGCAGCAATTTTACCGTAGCTAAAACCTTACGCTGATCTGCCATCTGTCACAGATGGTGATGTCAAAATTATCATCATCTGAACAGAATGGGTGCCTCCATACCGCTTCCTGAGATCCGTTCACCATGTCCCAGCAGCCTCACGTAAACGTCCCGAGCTGTGTGATTGGCCATGCGGAGCTGCAGGCTGTGCCGGGTGGTAATCTTCACCTGACAGCGCATGGCATCTGTCCGCTCCTCCAAACCCTTTAAAACCTCATCCACGTCCCCCTCCAGAACCTCCTCTAGAATCTCTCTGTGCTGTCCTAGAACCTCCATTACCTTCCCCTCCCAAAGCTCCAACCCTAACCCTGCTTCGCAATGACCTTCCGCCGTTCCCCAGTCCACTTTAATACTGGCTCCCACGCTCTGGCTTTCCGATAGGGTTTAGCACTGTCATACACACAC